AAAAACTGATGATGGTGGAAAAATACACCGAAACGTATTTTAATTGATAAATAGAGACAATAAATGACTGAAACCCAGGAATAAATTTTGATTTGCAATCGAAACACAGTCAGGAAAGTATATACAATGTTTAATTTTAATACTCCCAGTCAGTCTACGGCCTTACTGAAGTCACGGCAGTAGCTTTCCAGTCTCTTTACGACGATGACGAGCGCCAGGCCACATCCACTGTGGGCTACGTAGGTGATCATTTGGAAGTCAAAGTGATCAATGAGGAGGTGCAAACTTGAGCCGGAAGATGTTCTTGTTATACACATCAATACTTTTAGGGTCGCATTGTTCCGAGAGGGTCTCCTGGGGAATTGTGCATCAGAGGGTATTCAACCACGTTGGGTTATTGGAAGAACGAGGAGAAAACTCAGGAGCTGATTGGCGCAGATAAATGGCTTCGAACAGGGTATGGGAGTCTAAACGTGCACTAATACATAGGGTGTCTCATCAAGAGAGATCCTCTCGCCACACATCGATTTTAAATCACTGTGTATATAATCGATAGAAATTGCGTTTTAGGGATCAATTTGTACTGGATGAAAAGGGTTATGGAAGTGTGGTGGGCAGAATCAAAGAACTGATTATTCGAGGCGGCGAAAACATTTTTCCTGGCGAGATCGAAAGCCTACTGAACACCCATCCTGAAATTCTGGAATGTCACGTAAATTTCACGTCTAGCCGCATTTGAAAGCGAGTTTTCAAAACTTTTCCTACCTTCCAGGTGGTTGCGGTTCCGCACGAAAGATTAGGCGAAGAAGTGTGCGCTTGTGTACGCACAAAGTCCGCAGTGGCATTGACCCTTGAGGAGGTGCAGGCGTTTTGCCAAGGGAAAATTGCCCATTTCAAAGTGCCTTCCCGACTGGAATTGCTGGAATCGTTTCCCAAAACTGCATCAGGCAAAATCCAAAAGTTCAAATTGGTTGAAACCATAGTGGCGCAAGCCTGATTAAAGATGTATTGAAGAGATTTTTCCGTTAATTCACCTTTTCCTAGTCGAATTTTGAA